CAATATGATTGCCAACTAATCCTCTTAGACTTACGTAGTTCTTTCTTATAATTCTGCAGAGAGATCTTGTATTCAGACCAGTCACTCTCATTTCTATTTAGCTTTGCCCTATTAAAAAGTCTCCTGCATTCTTTCCTCAATTGACCTAAGTTTCTATTCCACCAGGGTGGGTTACTCTTCCTACTAGGTCGAGTTGAAGGACAGGCAAGGTTAAAAGCTTCATTAAGTATTGAGGTAAGACCTGCTACCTGCTCGTCCAGATCATTTATATTCTCTGACGGATAAAGAGTAGTGTTTGTCAACAGCTCATTTATAGATGATTTGTACTTTGTCCAGTTTGTATTCCTGACATTTCTGAAAGTTTCTAAACTGGGGGTACTTGATTTCTTTAAGTTTATAGAAAATTCTAAAATCATATGGTCTGAAAAAGAGTGTCTAGTGGACACTTTCCATTTTCTTATAGACCCATGAATTTTGGCAGTAGTCACGGTAATGTCTAAAACCTCCTGCCTGTTTTTGGTAACAAAAGTCGGCCTATTACCGTCATTACATATAAAGAGATTATTATTAAAAATAAAATCGAAAAGTAACTCATCACGTTCATTCGTGTTTGAGCTACCCCATATTTCATGGTGCGCATTTGCGTCGCAACCCAAAATGATATCTGCACCAAGTCTCCTAGCGTCAATTGTCAGTTGTTTTAGGCTACTTGATGGTAACTCTTCGTGATCATGAGCCATATATGCAGATACCGCCCATATCTGGCCCCAAGGTCCCTCAATACTTACTGCGGTTAGGTCTTTGTCACTATACTGCGAAAGCATGAGAGCGTAATATGTTTTATTTATTAGTATGCAGGATCTAGGCTTACCCTTGCTTACCGCATATATTAAGTCAAAGTTTTTAGTCCTGTGTCCGCATACAAGATCCTTGAAAACCCATGGCTCTTGCACCAGGACCATATCAGCTTCGTTGTTGCTGAGGCATTGCAACTAGCTGGCGGACGCAACCTTGCAGTGGTGCAGGTTAATTTGTAGTACCCGCATCACGGTTTGTTTTGAAAGTGGTAGTGTCCACCACTGTTACATCAAGCGCGCTATCTTCCTCAGATTCATTTCCTGAGTTCAAAAGTTCTTCTTCGTCAAAAAGATAGCGCGTACCAATACTCTCTTCAGATATAATTGAAGGAGCTGGAGAGGACATTGTCACGTCCATATTTATTGAATCAGAAGTGGTAGGCAGTATTTCTACTGGGCTCACTGAGTTTGCGGTAGCAGTTACAATATCGCCCGCTTCCATTATGGTATCAACAGTGCCTTGCGGTGCTGCTGGACCTGTGTAATTAGGTAAGGATTGCTCCTCGTCCTTTTTATATACCCTCATTGTGATGGCTGAGAAACCGTAGTTAATAACACCGTTTGATTTCGCCAAAGTGGCCAAGGATGCTTTGTCAATCACAAAACTGACCGACCTATATTTACCCTTGACTTCCTCCAGCTTAGTAATCTTCCACGTTCTTGGTCGACTAGGGATTTGCTCCTTAGTAACAACCTCAAGTTTGGCGCCTGGCCATGCCTCACCAATTTTGGAAATGGCTTTGCTAAAATGATCAACAGAACGCTAATCTGCGCAGGCGATAAGTTTCACATGGCCCTGATGCCATCCACTATCGCGACAAGTGGGACCGTCTCCAGGAAAGTCCTTCAGGAGATCGACATAAATGTTAAGGAGCTTGAGCTCAATTAAGTCCCACTTAGCAGGTGTAATTGTGCCATCCGGGTCATTTTCATCAATGACTCCCATTATTAAAGAACCCTTCAGCATGTCGCTAAAGGATTTTGCATTTGTGGCGTTGCCACGAAATTTTGCCTTTTTGGCATCAGGTTTTGAAGCTGACTCATCTAATGAGCGCTGTCGCTTCGTAGCAGGTTCCTGCTTGTCCTTCGAGGTATCGAGGACCTGCTTAGCCCAGGCAATCCTGGCCTTCATAGATTCGGATGTAACCGAAATATTGCCGTATCTTTCGAGCAGTCTAGTCGCCGCTCGGCGTTCCTTGTAACTCCTCCTCCCAGGAGGGCCTGACCGAATTAGTGGTCCGGAGCGCGTCGATACATTTTGTTTATGATTTGGAGGCACCTTTTTATTACCACTGGAAGTCGCGGTAGGTACCTTGTTTGGACACTTAGTGTCCGAAGATTTTGAGCTCTGTTTAGCCGAGCTCTCCGCTATAGAATTTTTATTTTTATTAGTTATTGGTTCATTCATATTTAAACCCACGAGTTGCGGAGAAGGGAGGGTCCATCCGGGCAGAGATCCGCAATACCCGGATAAGGCTAAATTACAACCGGAGGGCGCCAGTTATCCGGAGGTCTCCGTTTAAAAACACACTGACGTAGTGCTATTCATCTCATCGGCACGGGTCGAATAACACCGGAGATTACGGGTTTTATCGAGTTTTCCTCTCTAGATCCATGATGTTCTGTTATGCCGACATGATAGCCAACATGAAAAATCAAAATATAACTATTTAATAAATTTATTAAAAAAACACAAAAGTCCTTTCATTTAATTCTTTATTGTAAATCTTATCAATCTTAAAAAAGAAAATTTCTTTGTTTACTCATTTATCGTTACTTAAATCAAATCTATGATTTTCGTTTTGCTAATGTATTTTAGAGATTAAATCTCACTACCGTTTTTTACAAATGACATACTTTTTTACATACTTAACGCTAATGTAATATTTATTTAAAACCTCGTCATATCTATAAATACATATTAAGTATCGAATTAAAAATTGTTAATTCATTAATTAATTCTATCTTATCATTAAAAATTAATAATTATTACACAATTATATTAATATTAAGTAATTAAAAAGTAATCAGTAAGTAATTTAAATATTTTTTAAATAAAAATTACCTAAAAATTATTGTTAAATTAATTGGTAAATTATTTGCACTAAAATATATATATTCAAACATATATATGTGCATTTATTTAAGTCTGTTTATAAAGTAATAATGTGAAAAAAGTGAAATATACATATAATATTTTAAAACTTCCACTAATTAGTTATATGTATAGATATTTATGAAAAAAATTCCAAGTTTTAGTGTCGTTTATATCGTTTTACTATTTAATATGAGTTATTTTTTAAGTAAACTTTTCTGATAAACTTTTTGTAGGTGGTTAAATCTTATTTCCCATGTGGGCATTACTGTATAGAACTTTTTTATATAATCGGAACTACAACCAAAATTGTTATTAATTCAAATTTTTTTTAAATAATAAATATACAAAAAAAAACTTTTGTGATCATTTATTTATAAACTGATTATTTATAATTTTACGTATATTGCGATTTTTTATAATATAAATATGTAATAATTAAATTTCTGTTGAAATTAAAAAAAAATTGTATAATGCTCAATTTTTTAATCAATTAGAATTTTTTATTATTAATATAGAGAATTTAATCAATGAATATTTGTTTATTTTTTATTTTTAGAAGAAAATTATCAAATAATTGTGATATGGTCACTAAAGTTATTTTATACAAATTTAATTTTGATTCGCATTGAAGCTGTGCAATTTTACATTATTTTTTAATTAAAATGAATTTGCAATCCAAAAAAATAAGAATTCTAAGAGTTCAAATACTGTAAGAGAGTATTTATTTACAATCTTTTAAATATATTTCATAAAGTTACACTGGTAAAGTTAAGTTAAACTTTATTATTACAACATATTATTTTGTTTATTTGCAGAACTTTTCTATATTATATAAGAACTTTTAAATTCTACAATACATATTATATCTTCTTAACTTAATATCTAGTATTTTAACAATTTAAATTTAATTTCTATTTATTTATTCCACTTCTTAAGTTATATGTTTTATACAAGCGATTTTCAAATTAAATTAAACTGAAGCTATAAATAAAATTAGTTCTACTTATTTGTTGTATAATAATATATAATATTTATTAGTGTATACGTTAACTACTATAAATATTAAATTTTTTTATATTTAAATTTAGACGTCTTTACATATATGTAAATATTACGTATTATTACTTTTATTATTTATAGAAAGTGGGTCCAAAGTAATAACGATTTTTAAAAATAAGTATTTGCAGTGTAGCCACCTATTTACAATTGCTTTCGTCCGTGTGGTAAATCTCTTTCTAATGTACTGTCAAGGCGTTTAAACGAATTAAAGCAGAGTTCCTATTTCTAAAGTACAAACATCGTTTGATTTATCGATACAAAAATAAATATCGAATAAGGAGAGATTTATTTTAAACTTAAATGTACGATTACAGTCACAGTTCATATTTTATTAAAGACAAATTGTTTAAAAATAGTTATTTTGATCAAAGCTAAATTGAAATCTACATCACATGCTTTATCTAATCGGAATTAGAGCAGCTCAAAGACATAGATGGTTTTTCTCGAGTTCTACCAAATACCCATTATCTTTAGACTTTGGAACATTTGGACTACTGAAATGTCCACAATTAATGCTATTATCTTAAAAAACTTATCTCTTAAAAAACTGCTCTTATCCATCCACATGTGCGGGGTATTTGTTGATAGAATTAAAAACTCCGCTTCTATTAATTCAAATGGCAAAAAAATGTTGACAATGCATCAATAAAAGAACTACATTATCGACAAGAGAAGACCTTTATTTTAATCATTATATTAATAGCCCGATTGGTTTACTTTAGAACGCACCTTGCAAAAGTATATATTAAATACTATATAATATTATATTTACAATTTATGTAATGCACATACATATGAACATATGAAGAGATCCAGCTTGACACCACAATACAAAATATTCGAAACAAAAAATGTTCATTCAAGTATTCATATAAAAATACGTAATCTCTTCAATTAAAAAAGATACTCATAACTATTTAGTTTTACACACATATATATATCCATAATTAAAAATAATTAATTTATTCAATGAATACAATCTGCGGCTGAAGTGCACTAAGAAAAATTGATGGAATGTAGGCAATAATAAAGTGACTGTTTATGATATTTATATATAGTTCCAATCTTTAATCTTGAAATTTTAATACGCATATATATTAAACAAATTCATTAAACTAAATATTTGAACTACAAATCTAATATTCGATTCTATTGTGTACCACGTACATACATATTACATATTTACGACATTTTTCATAATATACAATCAAAATTCTATTAACTCTTTTCTCCTTCATATTTAGGAGGGTACTATTAAACCGACGGTTCTAATCTAAATAACTGTATTCCAGCGTTAGCAAAAAATTTAAAAAATATACTTTCTTATGAAAGAAAAAACTCATTTTAGACATAAAGATCTCAATAAGGACGTAGATTCAAAGACTAGAGATTGTATTTTATAGATGACGAACTATGCATATTGTCCTAGCATTTGATTTACTTTTAATAATGATATTCGATATCTTTTTACAGTCTACCAACATTCCATAAAATTTTCTTAATTCGTTTTAAAACTCTAACATGATTTACAATTTTTTCTTACAATTAGTTGAGATAGACCTCTTCGACCTGTTGCTCCCCACCAACACATTCTTGCTGCTCATGCAACTGTTGCAAATGATGTTCAGTAACATCGGTGTCTTGGAATTCAATTAGTTCACTTTCATGCTGTGTTTGATGTATTACAATCTGTTGGTGTTCTTGATGTTGATGCTGCTGTTGTTGTTGTTCTTGGTGTTGGTAATCATGCTGCTGGTGAAGATCTGATTCTTGGAGTTCAAGAGGATCATGATGTAGTGCGTGGGAATGAGAGAAAACTAATGGCGGCGGAGATGATGATGCAGTATGAACAGCAGGCGTTTCTATAATTTCGGTGCCTGTAACCGATTGATTTCGTACAATATGACCAGCGGGCGGTTTTCCAGAGCGTGTTAACGTGACGGTGACCTCAGAGCCGAGGCCAGCAAATGAAACTGGCGTTGCACTATGCATGCCACTTACATTTGTTGCTCTTGAATGGAGGATTTTGCGGGAAGTTGTTGGATTAACTGCCGCGACTGTATTAGATGTGGATGTGGGCGAAGTTGCAGCCGATGCATTTGGTGATACATAATTAATTAAAAGTACACGTTCACCGTTTGTTGTTTGTGCAGCATGACCTCGCAATATGCGACGATGCGGTCCTAACGTTGTTCCACCAGTTGCATTTGCTACTGTTAAACCTATTGCATTAGTTCCGCTAATATTGCTGTTACTTGTTCCTCGGCTGCCACTAGTTGATATTGTTCCGCTTCCACTTCCATTGACACCGCCTCCGTTACCGCAGATCATATCGTTGGCTCATCATTACGTATTATTACCGCCTTTCAAAATGAAAACCTTCTTTACCAATATGTTCTTATTGTTGCCCTAATAGTTTTACGTTTATTTATTATGTTACATATATTAATAATTTAGGTAGGTTTTATGCATTATTTTGTTTGGTATTTTGTTAGATGGTGAGATTCGAGGCAGCAAGTATAAAAAAGAAAGAGAGAAAAACAAAAATAAATTGTTAAGTTCATGTTTTTGTTATGACAATGAATGCGCAAATTAGTTACAAATATTTTTGTTTTCCAAAATATATAAGAGAGAACAACCTTGAGTTATAATCATTTTTATATTGAAATAATAATTAATATTCTGCATAACACAAATTTTGCTCAAATCACAAAAGAAAATTAATTAATTAATCAAATAATTTTTTAAGAATATTTATATATATTAATTTATAAAAATATCTACAGATCTGATTTTTTTTATTTTAATACCAAGACTATCATCTATTTAGCTCGGAAATTAGACATAAAATTCGATTTGTTTTGTATAGAATTTTATATCAACTTTTTGTGCTAAACAGATATTAGCACTAGGCTTCAGAATTCAGTGTATCTAAATTTTAAATCTGTCTACTTTAAGTGTTTAATGCCATGCATAAGATTTCTAGTACTCCACTTGCAATATAAATGTATTGTTTTGAATAACATCGGAATGATCACAAAATACCATTTAAAAATTTCTAAATAAAAATAAAATATCTCAAAATTTAAATGAACCATCAGCAAAAGTAAAAATATATATTTCGAAGCAAATGTTATATCAGTAAGAGGCCATGCCCAAAAACAAGATTTAAAGCAAGAAAATAGGGAATATACATATATTAAAAATAAAGTGAATATAAGCTTATAGCACAAATAATTATAATACAAACCGTAGACAATAAATAAGAGAG